CATCTGCAACATCGCTGTTATTTCGTAAGCACACCTGTAATAGCACTTTCACCACCAAAACTGGAATGCTGTAACATAAGTAGCTACAGTAGTTCGCGCTGGTGTTGATGGTAAGCACATGCATTGCGAGTTTGCAGCCCATTTTGCGCTGATTGCTTACTGTTGACGTCTAAATGTGCTATTGACGAGAGACTAGGCAAATTTGACCCAAAATTCACAATGCAACGGCGAGTTCAGCGCTGTTTTGCTCGCGCTGCAAGCAATGCTTGCCAAGCATTGCTTAGTCCACAGTCTGGAGGCCTTCACTCTCTCTTGGCCGGATCGAGGTTTCGTCACGTGTGGGCTCGCGAGGCTTACCGAGATGCTTGAGAGACCTTACGACAGTACTCGCCGCCCGATTGAAGAGCTCCACGCTGTGGATAGCCCTGCCCGGACAGACACCGTATACAATTGCCAGCGGCTCTTCCTCCTAGCGAAAGGCTTTTCCCGCTCCGTTCAACTGCAACGAGCTCGTGGCAATGACTTGTGGTGATGAATTTCATCTTGAAGGCTAGCTGGATAGATCAGAACGGCTGCAGCGACAAACTTCAACACCGTAGTATGAGGCGGTAGTGATCCCCCTGAGACTTTCGGATCGGAGGCAGGTTCTGCCTTCTTCCAAGAGGACTGGCCTTGGTCCCACGTGCAGATGAGCCTTTGCGGACACATGACGAAATTGGGCTTGCGATGGGCCGAGGGCGGACCACCCCGCGTCAAGCCGCGACGCAGCTGGTTGATCGCACTACCGGTTGAATTTTCGTCAGCAGACGACGCCGACGAACGCCCCATTGAATCGAGGGCTCGCATGACTGCATCAAGCTGCCATCATCGCTACCGAGTTGCAATTAGGAGTTGTGGACTTGATACCAGTACCGTCGTGAGCTCTTCTGTACCATTGCAATCGGACACGAGCACCATTTCAGTGAGAGGACGAGAGAAGTTGCTACGTTGGACGAGAACTTGGCAATCTCGGACCGTAAATAAAGTTAGTTCAACTGTAGTTCTTCTTCCACAGGAGCACAAGTGTTGGTATAGTTGTTAAAGTCATCAAAACCCCGAAAAGCTCAGCACCTCGCGATCCTCCCAGCACTACTACTACAGCCCCAGTGTCTTCACTCCTCATACCGGTACTCCACGGCCCCTGTCGTGAAATATCGGCCCTTTGGTCGCCACCACAACCAAGTCGTAGGTCGTAAACAGGATTTTCACATATTCCAGCGCACGCAAGTACATCGTGCTGTTGCGGCCAGACTTGATCACTGCTCATACCTACTGCTATCTTCCCAAAAAAAAAATAAGACTTCAACTAGGATATACCGTCACCGAAAGTGATGCTTGTGAACGTTCACGATCTCCGTTGCTGGATCCACTAGCCCACTCATGAGCCTGTTGCAGTTGTCTGAAACGCCGGTTTGTGTCGACCATGGCGAAGATATCAAGCCTATTCTAAGGATCAGCCGTTGGAGGCATGAGAACGGGTCTCGTGCTTGGCCTGGACGGCGCCGGCAAAACGCTGCTGCTCCGACAACTCATGGCGCAAGTCGTGCGGAAGCAGAAAACCGTGATGGAGCGAATTGTAGCATTCGCCTCAAACCCCTGTAGTACCTGCAGCTATAGCCCAGACAAAGACGAAGAATCCAAAGACGGAGAATATGTCGTTGATCCAAACACGCAACCGAGTGTGGGCGTCGAACACTGGTCGCTACCACTCGATGGAGGGAAGGCCTGCACACTGAGAGAGGTCGGTGGACAACTGCTGCCAATGTGGCCGTCGTACTTCGAGTCCTGTCACTTTTGGCTTTTCCTGGTCGACGCCAGCAACGCCACTCAGTTAGCAGCCGCAGCAATCGAGTTCTTTTCCATCCTGAGTGTAGACGAAATGAAGTACAAGCCCAAGCTATTGGTGATCAACCAGATCGATGCCAGCTTTGTGATCGACGACACTATTTTACAGACGTATCTATGTCTTGACCGCCTGATGAGTGAACCAGATAGCGGCCCGATACAGATCATCAAAGCCAGTGCGCTAACGGGGGAGAACGTCGCACAGATCCTCAAGTGGCTTAGCCACGCTGCGAGTAGTGGTCTCTTTTCAGGAAACAATCCTAGCATTGGACTTACTGGGCTCAGTGGGTTTAGCGGTCGTTATCGGACGGTTGGACGGCAGAACTCGGCTAGCGATATGCGCGTACATCCCGTAGCGGAGTAGCCAACGAACATAGCGATAAAATGCGACGGTCATGTATTATTCATTAGTTCCTCTCGCCTTCGTGACAGTAAGGGTATTCATCAGCGAGAGTGATGTTCGTAGCCATGCTTGTTTTAGCGGCCTGGAACAGACGGAAGTGCTGCAAGTCACGACTAATGTTGCCGATAGCGATGACAGCGCAGTAGATACCGAGCACGATACTGCTGATGATGGTCAAGTGGCATACAAACCGATCGCACTTGCCCCGAAATGTGTGCGTGGCGATCGGGTGGACGCGAAGGTAGCACAAGCACGGCATGATCATACACGAGACGGTGACTGCAGTGGCCCCGATCAAACTCAAGATATCCGTAAAAGAAGACTGAAACATGATGGCGAGGAAAGCCTGCGACCACACCGTGATCGTACGAATCAAACCACTGCACAACCGGTCGGACGTTGTGTAGGCTTCGCCTGCGTAGTCGCCGTTATCACTCGGGGGTGGCGACGTCGCTTGGAAGTACGGAGTGCTGTTGCCGTACAAAAAGCCTTCTTCTTCGAGTATAGTCTTGGGTGGAGCAAGCGTACCGATGGCTCCTGAGTTGGCGAGAATAGGCTTGCTCTGTCCAGACGTAG